CGACCAGCTGCCAGAGCGCGCCCTGGGCGATGAAGGAGAGGAGCGGCGACGGGCGAGGAAAGTCGAAGTCGCCATGCGCGACCACAATGACTCTGATAGGGTCAAGCCGCGCTACTTGGGCGTCCGCCGCCAGGAACTTGTCCATCTTGGCCAGCTGATCCACCCGTAAACCATGGTTGTGTACATTGTAATGACAAAAATGATGACCATCACGCTGCAGATGAGGCCGAAGAAACCTTCCTGGAACAATTTCAGTGGGCACAGCTCCTGCAGTGCACAGCGCAGGGAGAATGTTAGCGACCCCATCTTTTCACTGGCGAGTCAACGCAGTGGGATGAGAAGAACTGCACACCGCGAAAGGCTTGCCAAATAAAATCTCGCAGCTGCACAGCAGCTTCATGCACCTCCTGCAAGCGAACCACTTCATTCAACGAGTCGAGACGACGGAGGTGCCCCAGCTTGACCTTCGAGTGCGCACCCTGGCACTGAAGAAGAGCACGCGTGTTCCAGGAGGTAAGCGATCTGGGCAACTTCGGTGACGGGGGCCCATTGATAAGGCTGACGAGCGGGCTAAAGACTCCACCCCGCTGTATCCGGGGGTGCACTAATTGCGGCGGCCGCAGCAGTGAGCTCCTGCTTGGGGAGGTCGAGCTTGGTGATGAGGCTGTCCGCCCAGTGGAGCGAGGACGGGGCGCTGCCAGGATTTGGGCTGATCCTGAGGATCGGGCCCCAGCTACCCATGACGTAGCCGCGGTCCTTGTCGATGGACCATCGGTTTGAGGGGTCGGTGTTCTTGAAAGCGTGCCGCGCCTTTCTGGCCTGCATCTCCATGCGGATATGACGAGGGTTCTTGTCGGGGCCAATGTTGAGGGAGGTAACCTGTCCATCGGCGGCCTTAGTCTCGAATCTTTTCCATTGACCAGGAGCCAGGCGTTGAGCGCCGAGCAAGTTGGCAACTCGCCTTGCAGCTGGGCCTGCAGCTCCGCCGAACTCAATCGTGAAGCTGCGATGTACGGGCTCGGGCGAGCTGATTTTGTAGTGCTCAGGTGTGACTCCAACCTCCTTGATCCAATCCGAGAGCACCTGCTTGACGTTGTCAATGGAGGTGAGCTTCGCTGAGATGGCTTTGCTGATGCACGGGACTGCGTCGCGCTCGAAGCCAGCGGTGTTGACCAGGGGCTCTTTCGGTATAGCGTTGGCGACCACCAGGAGATCGTTGAGCTTCTCGACCTCGGCCTCAAAGGAGGCGATGGCCGAGCCGTGGTCGTCCACTCTGGATTCGGCAGCACGCAATTTGATGTGGCACCCGTCAATATGCTCTTGGAGGCGGCGATTGGTACCATCAATCCGCTTAGCCGCCGCAGCATCGACTATCTTCGGTAGTTCCGCGACACCGCCAGCCGGCTTGGCTGCGCTCTTGGCCGAGTTTTGCGGCGAAGGGGCAGACAGCCTCGTCCACACAGGATTTGATCGTCTCCAGTATCATGTCTTTGCATTAATGCAGCAGCGGCGTGGTCTCCTCTTTGACCAGGATACGGGTGTAGTCCGCGCCCACTTCTTCCCAGTCATCTTCCATATCACGAACGCCAGCGGCATGAGGATCATCAGCAGGACAGGGGAGATGGGGAACACCCTCTGCAGGGAGCTCGATTTGGCCAGGTCCTTCGTCGCGTACGCCATGAGGAGCAGCATCATCAGCTCCAGATGAGTGGGTCGCATTCCCTAGAATGGCGACATCAGCAGCACAGCGGGTCCGCTTCTTTTTCGGCTGCTTGAGGACCAGTGCTGAGGCGGGCATGCGGTGGCAGCGCGCACTGTCCGACTGGGCTTGAGCAGCTCTAAGCCCCAGCAGCGCACAGCTCGACTGGGGTTGCCTGAAACAGGGGCTGGCCTCGGACTAGAGGTATCCACTCTCTGCCCGAAGGACACAGGCATCTTGAGCCAAAACGGCTACGGAGGAGAGGAGGATGAGGATGAGGAGGAGGAGGAGGAGGAGGGGGGATGGGGGAGGAGGAGGAGGGGGAGGAGGAGGAGGAGGAGGAGGAGGAGCAGGAGGAGAAGGAGGAGGAGAAGCAGGAAGAGGAGAACGAGGTGGAGATTGGCGGATAGCTCTCGGAAAGAATCGGGAGATTCCTGTGAGGGGAGATCTCGAGGGTATTCGAGACTCTGCCAATGCGAATGCCTGGGAAGGCGCCCTCCAAATCGACAACAGTGCTCCGCCACAGATCTCCGCCGCCGTGACTGCTCGGACCTGCTGGCCGCTGAACCTCCAACCCCTCTGGTGACTGGCTTTCGTCGCTGATCTTTCTCGTGATTGCCCCAGGGGCCCGAACGAGGCAGCCAGCGGACGAAAAACCGAAAGCAGCTCCAGGATTGGCGCAACGTGCGGCGCCAGAGCTCCAGGAGGCTGCTCTCTGGTGGCCCCTCCCTCCTGAGATCCGACGTGGCCCCCTCAGAATGACAACATCTTGACACACCACCACCGGCACCCTCTAGACCTCCTCTTGCCGAGCCCTTCCCCGAACCGCCTCGAGATCTCTGCGGGCCCCGGGGCCCGCATCGGGGCGAGGACGCCCGGCGTGAAAGAAAGTGCTCCGCCGGCTCTCGGGGCCTCCTCGCCGGGCCCTCCGCCACCCTCCTCCGGAGGAAGAGGAGGAGGAGGAGGAGGAGGTGGAGCAGGAGGAGGAGGAGGAGGAGGAGGAGGAGCAGGAGGAGGAGGAGGAGGAGGAGGAGGAGGAGGAGGAGGAGGAGGAGGAGAGCGCGCGGCGTCGCCTCTCGGGGCCCTCCGCCACCCCGGAGAGCTGCGCGAGCGCGACGACGCGCGTGCCGAGCACCTCTGGCGCCGGGGGAGCCGGGGCGGCAGGCGCAGAGCCCGTGCCCCCGCGGCCGAGGAGGGCGAGGGCGAGGACGAGGACGGCGAAGGAGAGGGTGGTGGCGATGGCGATGGTGGTGGTGATGGTGGGGATGGTGATGACGGTGATGACGATGGTGGTGGTGATGGTGGGGATGACGGTGGCGATGATGGTGGTGGTGGTGGTGGTGGTGATGGCGATGAGGATGATGGCGATGGCGGTGGTGATGGTTGGGATGCTGTTCGTGGTGATGGTGGTGAGGATGGTGGTGATGGCGATGAAGTTGTTTTTTTTCAAGCGCTATTTTGGGAGGAAGAGGAGGAAAACTGAGGGGAATGATCGCGCGACGAGAGCCGGCCGCAGTGCAGAGATGGAGGCAGAAACCTGCAGTAGCCCCGGACTCGGGCGGGGATGGCGATGAGGATGATGGCGATGGTGGTGGTGATGGTGGGGATGCTGTTCGTGGTGCTGATGATCCGATGTGCTTTCTGACTCCGCCACACGCGCGCGTGATGGCCCACGGAGCACGGCAGGTAGTGGGACCACCCCCAGTGGCACGTCATCGCAGCTGGCGGACTTCGGCAGGAGGCATCTCGATACACGGCTTGTGGAACGTACCCACTGTGCCGATAGGACCACCCTACGGGTGATAAGGAGGTTGGCGGGGGAAGGGTGAGGCGGTCGATGTGCGATGACTCCCACCTGCCGCCACCGAAGAATGCGCGGGCAAAAAATACCACCTACTTCCGCTTGCTTCTATCTGACGAACAAATATATACACATATACATCCATGTTTCGATCTATCCATAAATATGTCTATCAATCTGTCTATCGAGTCCACAAGTCAATCAGTCGACCTATCTGTCGACCTGTCGATCTATCTCTCGGTCGATCCATCTATCTTTCTATCGACGCTCTATCGTGTCAAACGTCGGGACAACCATCGGGACATCCGTGGGGACAACCGTCAGGACAACCGTCGGGACAACCATCGGGGCAACCATTGGGACAACCATCGGGACAACCATCGGGACAACCATCGGCACAACCATCGGGACAACCATCGGGACAACCATCGGGATAACTATCGGGACAACCATCGGGACAACCATCGGGACAACCATCGGGACAACCATCGGGGCAACCATCGGGACACCATCGGGACAACCATCGGGACAACCATGGGGACAACCATCGGGACGATCATCGGGACAACCATCGGCACAACCATCGGGACAACCATCGGGACAACCATCGGGATAACTATCGGGACAACCATCGGGACAACCATCGGGACAACCATCGGGACAACCATCGGGGCAACCATCGGGACAACCATCGGGGACAACCATCGGGACGACCATCGGGACAATCATAAGGACAACCACGGAACAACCTCGGGTCAACCATCGGGACAACCACAGGGAAAACCATCGGGACAGTCATCGGGACAACCACGGGGCCACCGCGGGACAACCACCGGGACAACCACGGGACAACCAACGGGACAACCATCAAGGCAACCCGCGGGACAACCGTCGGGGGCCGCGCCCGGCCGGGGGGGGGGAGGGGGCGGTGGGGGCGGGCGACCTTTTGGGCTCCACGTGGCCTCCAGTGCAGGAACTCGCGCAGCTTCGCCTCGCCCGCACGCACTTTGGACGCCCGAAATGGGTACGGAAAGAATGGGTACAATGCCCAACAACAAATGCTGTCCCAAACCAACAGTGGCCGCTGTTGGGCAGGCGGCCTCCTGTCTCGAATGGACACCGGCCGCGGCGGCGTGGACAGCGAGTCCTGTTCATCAAAATGAACAAGATCCGCTGTTGGGCATTGTACCCATTCTTTCCGTGCCCATTTCGTTCGTGCAAACGCACGACACGAACCGAAACCGAAACCGATTGCCCGGTTGAGGTCACTTCCGTTCACACCCCCCAACCTCCGGCTGCGTGCACACGCGTGCCCGGCGGTTACGAGTGCCTAGGCGCACAGGGCCTCCCAAACCAGTGCAGCTAGCAACACTAGCAGCGCCTGTCCGATGCGAGGCATGCTCGGCCTCACGATGCTCCGTGTAAAACTTTCTTGTCCTCTGGCTTTTTCGATCGGATCTTCTTGCATGCCCAGCGCCTGCTTCAACGTGCTCAGCTCAATCATAATCCCGGCTTGGCTTTTCTCAAAAACTCTGCGGTCATGGTATCTCTTTTCGTTTTCGCCACTGCTTGAAGCTTCCGCTCGAGCTGCCTGTCGGCTTCCTTCTGAACCTTCTCGGCCGCAGCAGCGGCCAGGGCCACCACAACATCCTCGGTGTACATAGTCTCACCCTTGCCCATCTCCCCCTGCGATACGAGCATATCCTGAATCATCTCCTCCTCCCTCCAGCTGCCCACCACGAACCTAGCCCGCAACCCGTCCATTTCGCCATGCATCTCACACTGGGAACGCACCTTCGCCAGCCCCACGCGCATGTCATTCCCCAGCTTCATCTTCTCGAGCTGGGCCTTCAGATCCAAGATGTTCTACTCGTACTCCGCCTTCAGCTGCTCGAAACCGCCTTCTCCAGCCTTCCTCATATTCTTGGTGTGCTCGGTGCTTATGGCGTCCAAGCTAGATCAATCCTGCACTTTGTTTTGCTCAGCTCATTTCCAAGTGGACTGGTGCTGGTCACGAATGTGTGGTGGTACTTCCCCTCGTGCTTGTGCTCGATTTCCGGATCTGGAGCTGGCCACGCGCCATTCCGCCAATGGGCCCACATGCACTGCTCCAAGTCCGCGACCCTGTAGGTTAGCGCCTTGCTCCCCTCGGCCAGCATCTCGATGTGAGCGCGGCCCGCCAATCGGGGAGCCATGGCGTGATCTAGGAACTGTGAAGGTTTAGTTCGCTGCTGTAGGCTGCCCAGGCACATGTGGCCTGCAAGGACCAGAATGCGCTTGAACCATGATGATAATGATGATGATGATGATGATGATGATGATGATGATGATGATGATGCTGATGATGATGAGGAGGAGGAGGAGGATAAAAATAATAATGATGATGATGGTTATGATGATGCTGCTGATGATGATGATGATGATGATGATGATGATGATGATGATGATGAGGGTGATGAATGATGATGGCGGCGGCCGACCAAGAAAATGGCACAGCCGCACCAGAAGGCAGAGGACGACCACGAAGACGCAAGGCTCTGAGGGCAAAAGAAGGTGCAACCACAGGCAACAGTGCGCATTGGGGTACTCCGCCGATGCCCTGGGAGGGGACTCTACGGACACGAGTGTGCCATGGAATTTGCAAGTGACGACCTCCTCGTCGGTTCGCGACTGCGTGCCTTCCTGGCAGCGAAAGTGCACTCCAAATGCCGCTTCAAAGATCCTGCGCTACCGCCGTTTGCAAAATAAACGCCCACGTGTAAGATCGAAAGGACCCCTCCCCCCTCGGAACCTGGCATCTCAAAGTTGGCGGACGACTGCGCCAAAAGTAGCACGAAGTGTTGGGGCATAAACGCCCCTTTTTGCGAGTGGCCCACCGCTTCCCCAGCAGCCTCGAAATGCGGGGGAGAGGGGGGCGTGTTTCGATGTCTTGTTAACCAGCGATGATGCGCGCGATCCCAACTTCCCTGTCCCTCTAGAACCACTCGCGGAGGAGACACGATCGCAGACCGATTGGGGTATCGTGGCGACAAACGCGCAAATCTATGGGGACCCCCCCGCAAATCGATAGAACACGCATCGGGACGCAGGCAAGCGCACACACACAATCGGTTTGCAATCGTCACCGCACTCAGGGCACAATCGGAACGCCGACGGGCGCACGTGTTACGCCGTGGCCAGCCCGCGGTACCCCCCTGCGTCCCGCGCTGGCCGAGAGGCCGGGCCTGGTTGATCTTGTACATGTCCATGTCCTTTGCCTGGCCCAGCTCGTGCTCCATCTGCCGCCTCTCGGCGAGGGCAAGCTCAGAACGCTGTGGCCGTCAGTTTCGGCATTCGGGCGACCGGGAGGAAGAGGGACGGGGAGGAGCAGGAGGAGGGGGAAGATGGGGAGGGAGGATGAGAGATGGCGAAAAAGAGAGAGGGTGGATGGGGGAGGGAAGAGGGAGGAAGAATAGATGCTGCTGATGATGACAATGACGATGACGATGACGATGATGATGCTGATGATGATGATGGTGATGGTGGTCCAAGACGGCCTCCAAGACGGCCTAAGAGAGTCCAAGATACCTCTAAGTTCGCTCAAGAAGCCTCCCAGACGGCCCAAGAGGTCTCCAAGAGGTCCTCCAGGAGGGCCCGAAGAGGCAAACAAAAACATTGGTTGTCCTTCGGTTTTTGAAGGATTGGGGCATTTGCTTCTTCTCGGCATTCCGACGGCTCGAGACGGCCCAAGGGGCCCCCGAGATGGCCCCAAGATCGCCCACGAGGCCTCCAAGATGGCCCCATGAAGGCCCAAGAGGCCCTCAGGACAGCCCCAAGAGGCTTCCAAGACGGCCAAGATAGCCTCCAAGACGCCCAAGATGGCTTCCAAGACGGCCCTGGAGCACCCCAAGAAGGCCCCAAGTCGGCCCAGAGAGGCCCAAACGGCTTCCGACGGCGTCAGACGGGCCAGGAGCCCACCAAGATGGCCGAAGTTGGCTCTAGGCTAGCCCAAGACGGCCCAAGAGGCCTCCAAGAGGGCCCCCTGGAGGGCCCGAAGAGGCCAGAATCAGTGGTTTTCCTTAGCTTTTTGAAGGACTTAGGCATTTGCTTCTTTTCGGCCTTCTGCCGGCCCGAGACGGCACAAGAGCCCCCCAAGATCGCCCCAAGATCGCCCACGAGGCCTCCAAGATAGCCCCAGAACGGCCCAAGAAGCCTCCAAGACGGCCCCAAGAGGCCCCCAAGACGGCCCAGGAGGCCTTTAAGACGCCCAAGATGGCCTCCAAGACGGCCGTGGAGCATTCAAAGAAGGCCCCAAGTCGGCCCAGAGAGGCCCACCCAAACGGCTTCCGACGACATCAGACGGGCCAGGAGCCCACCAAGATGGCCGAATATGGCCCTAAGATGGCCCAAGACGGCCCAAGAAGTTTGAAGGGGGATGGGAGGCCCAACCAGCAGCTTCGCCTAAAGCGAAACCCATATCCAACTCTGTCGTACCGTAGTAACGATAGTCCCAGACGTAGGAGGTCGTCGCGGGAGCGACGGGCCATCTCAAGCGAAGATGTTTTCGGTCTCCATGGCAAGTAGTGTGCCTCGCGATGAGGCACAATCATATATTGGCGGCCGGCCGCTTGAGCCCAAGCGGCCGCGGACAAACGCTCGCTATCTCTCGCCCTTGTCCCAGCTCACTTTAGAGTCAAGAGGCCTCCAAGAGGTCCTCAAGGAGGGCCCGAAGAGGCCAAAATCATTGATTTCCCAAAAGTTTTTGAAGGATTGTGGCATTTGCTTCTTTTCGGCGGCCTTCCGCCAGCCCGAGACGGCCCAAGAGCCCCCAAAGATCGCCCAAGAGGTCTCCAATATGGTGCCAGAACGGCCCAAGAGGCCTCAAGAGGCCCCCAAGACGGCCCAAGAGGCCTCCAAGACGCTCAAGATGGCCTCCAAGACGGCCCTGGAGCACCCCAAGAAAGGCCCAAGTCGGCCCAGCCTCGCCCACCGTGTTCCCCGCTGGCCACAACGTTCGGCCACAGAGGCGTTTCCAAAAAGGCAGGGGGCGGCGGTGATTCGCCGTAGGCGTCTTCGATCCGCCGCCCCCTGTTGATTCATCACAGGGGTGCCTTGCGTGCTGTATCCTTTCCGTTTTGGTTTTGGTCCCCCTGGGGCTTCGGCCCGTCCCGCTAGCCACCCGAAAGGGATCTCAACCCCGGAAAAATCCTCCAAGACGGCTCAAGATGGCCTCCAAGATGCCCACGCTGGCCCAAGATGGCCTCCAAGCTGGTCCAAGATGGCCTCCAAGTCCGCCCAAGATGGTCCAAGACGGCCTCCAAGACGGCCTAAGAGAGTCCAAGGTATCTCCAAGTTCGCCCAAGAAGTCTCCAAGACGGCCCAACACGACCCAAGAGGCCTCCAAGAGGTCCTCCAGGAGGGCCCGAAGAGGCCAAACTCATAGGTGTTCCTTAGGTTGTTGAAGGATTTTGGCATTTGCTTCTTCTCGGGCTTCCGACGGCTCAAGACGGCCCAAGAGGCCCACCATATCGCCCCAAGATCGCCCACGAGGCCTCCAAGATGGCCACATGACGGCCCAAGAGGCCCCCAAGGCGGCCCCAAGAGGACCCCAAGACGGGCCAAGAGGCCTCCAAGACGCCCAAGATGGCCTCCAAGACGGCCCCGAAGCGCCCCAAGAGGGCCCCAAGCCAGTTCAGAGGCCCGAGAAGTTCCAAAAAGGCCCCAAGAGGCCCTCAAGAGGCTCCCAGAGAGCCCAAGATAGCACCAACATGGCCTCCAAGACGGTCCCAAAATGGCCCAATCGAGCCCAAGAGTGCCTCAAGAGGCTCCGAAGAGGCAACCTCGCCCTTCTCCTTTTTCCTCCTTCTCCTCCTCTTCCTATTCCTCCCCCACGTGTTCCCCGAAAGCTTTCCAAACCGACTCGGGGAGCACATGGTCCGATGGCTTCGCCCCCAAAGATGCCTCCAAGACGGCCCAAGATGCCTCCAAGATGGCCTAACATGGCGTCAATATTGCCCAAGACGGCCCAAGAGGCCTCCAAGAGGCCTCAAAAACGGCCCAAGAGACCTCCAAGAGGTCCTCCAGGAGGGCCCGAAGAGACCAAACTCATGAATTGTCCCTAAGTGTTTCAAGGATGTTGACATTTGTTTATTCTCGCCGTTCCGACGGCTCAAGACGGCCCAAGAGGCCTCTTCCTCTTCCTCTTCATGTTCATTCTCCCCCACGTGTTCCCCGAACGCTTTCCAAACCGATTCGGGGAACACATGGTCCGATAGCTTGGCAAGCCTCTGGCCACAACGTTCGGCCACATAGGCGCTTCCGGAAGGGCAGGGGGCGGCGGTGATTCGCCGTAGGCGTGTTCGGTACACTAGATACACATACGTATGAACGCCGCGCTAGTTCAGACAATGTGCCGAACTTGAACAAGTCTTACATTGAACACGTTGTGAACAAAGCGGCCAGTCGATTGGGACCAACTTCCTCCCGTTCCTCCACATCCCTCCTCCCCATTCCTCCTCCTCATCCGTCCTCTTTCTCCCCCGACCGGGATGCGACGTCGCGGCAAAATCAAGACGTCGTGCAACCTCACGGCCAGGGCAATCGACCTCATCTGCCTTCGGCAAGCAATTTCTGCAGCCGCGCGATGCGTGAGGCCAGGCTTTCTCACGATAAGAGGATCTGATCACCACTGTTATCCCGAGAGGATGAATCTTCGGAGTTCCGCGCGGATTTCTTGGATCGGCGCTGCACCCCCCTCCCTGACGCGCGGAGCGCGCCAGAGGCGGCGCCGAAGGCGCTTCCAGGGGGGCCGAGCGCCGATCCAAGAAATCCGCGCGGATATGCAATGCCGGCCAATTAGCCATTAGGCTGCCCCGAACTGCCACACGCTGGCGCGGACTGCCTCTGCCCCGCCGCCGACGCACAAAAAATTGTCCAGTTCCTCTTTTCCTCGATCCCTCCTCCCTTGTGCCCCTCCCTCGATATGCCGCCTCTTGGTGAAGAAGGCGACGGGGTCGATGGGCGTCAGCCGCCTCCTCGACGCGGCGCGGCCGCCGACGATCGCCAGGCAGAACAGGAACGGCAGCGGCACCGCCAGCAGGTACGGCAGCCACCTGAGGACGACAGCGGCGACGGCGACGGCGAAGGCGGCGGCGGACGCTGGCTGCCGACGCCGGGTCGTGCTCCCTGGCTCGAGGCAGCCATTTGGGCCCCTCGGGGCCGATGAACCCCGGGCGCGCCCCGGCAGAGGACGGAGGAGGGAGGCGGAGGCGCA